ATATATATATATATATATATATATATATATATATATATATATATATATATATATATATATATATATATATATATATATATATATATATATATATATATAGCGTCTCCCCGGCGTTTCGTCTCCCCATTTTTTCAAAATTGCCGTTTCGGCGTTTCTGTTTCGTCTCGTCCCCGTCTCCGTTTCAGTGCTACATAGGTCCACATGTCACAGAATCTGAAGTTGTGTTTCTTCTCTTGCTTCCAGTTATTGATAAAAAGAGGTGAGTGGTATGACAGTCCCTCCTCTATTATTATAACCTTGGAATTATATTGCAGGGCCCACTCTACATTGGTTAGGGCCCTGTCCAGTTTAGAGAATATCCTTTTTCCATGCCCTTGTTTATTGGACCATGTAAACCTTGCTCCTTCACTAGGTAATTATTCCAAGCCATTATCCTGTATACATTCCTTGAACTCCCTTATTTCCTCCCAGGTGACTGGATTGCCTCCAATTCTATCCTCACAGCTGAGTATGCTATTAAAATCTCCTATTAAACACCATGGTATGTGGGTCTGGGCAGCCATTTTACTGATAACACTCCATAGCTCCCTCCTTTTTGTAGGGTCATTGTGCCCATAAACAAAACTTACTAAGGGTATGTTTGGTGAAGAAATCAGATATGGGTTTCCATATCTCTGATATGGAGTTTCTAAAATTAATGTTTGGTGAGTAACCAAAGGGTTTCAGCTTTCATATCCGAAGATATTAGAATTCTGCGTATAAGCCGCTTTTTGATATCTCCATCTAATTGCCGATTTCAATTTTAAAACAGAAGATTTAATTTAGATTCCTCTTCCAAGTCAATATTTTGGAGCAACTGGTACAAGGGCTTGCGGAGGTCTTCAATCTCCATTGAAGGTGGTGGCAGTTCTTTCTCCGGCGATGAAGGAGGAGGAGGAGGCAGCGGCTGTGTCTTCACTGGCGGCAAAGAACAAGGCGCATAGGGTTTCTGTCTCCGTCGGCGGTGAGATAGGTGGCGGCGACAATTTTGTTTCCATCGATGACAAAATAGGAGGCGGCGGCGGTTCTATCTCCACAGTGGCCGGCGGCCACAATGGAGGCGGCATTTCTATCTCTAGCGGCGATGAAGGTGGATGAGGCGACGGCGTTTCTATCTCCACAGTGGCCGGCGGCCACGATGGAGGCGACATTTCTATCTCTAGCGGCGTTGAAGGTGGATGAGGCGGTGACTTTGTCTCCATCAGCACCGGCTATGACATTTTCTTGTGCGGCAGGGGAGTATACAAGGGGTAGTGGTGGATAAAACAACGGATAGCTTTTACTTTTCAATTTTGACTTAATTGATTTTGATTTATTTCTCTTTTCTCCAAACATTCTTTCTTCCCGATTTCAAAACCCATATCATTTCTCTCAGATTTCAATATCTTTTCATATCTCCTAAACTCACCAAACAGGTCCTAAGTATTGCTTAGTGTCCCCCAAGATTCTACACCTGCAGCTTACCAACTGATGAGTTACTCCCATGATCTGTACATCCACCATCCACCTTTCCTTTGTTCCATGCCACCCAAATTCTCCCCAAGTGGTGAGTATTATTATTAATGAAGGAACCCCAGGTCTTGAACAAGCTGTTTCAACTGCTTTAAACTTGTTTTCTCTAATTTTGGTTTCAAGCATCCAAACAAAAATACATTATATTTCATAACACACCTCAAAACTTCTCCTTGTTTATTTGGACTATTCAGCCCTCTCACATTCCAGCAGCAAATCATTTTAGAGAGGACAGGTGCCCTTCATAAGGGCCTTCATTGAATACCTTATGCAATCCTTTTTCATCATAGTCTTTGCTATCATCTAACACCAATTTCCTTGCAGCCTTTTTCCCACATACTTCAGTAAATCCCTCATCCATATTTTCTGGGGGAATATCTTTCTGTAGATTGTCATTGCTATTTTGATTATTCCTCTCCTCTTCCTCCAGCTTTTCATTGCTCTGTTCACATTCATCCTTCTTTAGGATCTCCTCTAGTTGATGCTCTTTCCCATCCTTTTTAACTCTCCAGACTAGTTTCTTTGGGCCAGCAGCTTCCTTCTTATTGTTTTCCTTCAATCTACAGTTCTCCGAAAGATGTCCTATTTTCTTACAGTGATAGCAGATAAAAGGACCCCATTCATACACAACATTCTGTGTCATCACTCTCTCCTCTTCAGTGACATAAGCAATCTGTTGTGGGAATTCCTGATACACTTTCAGTTTGCTTAGCCCTGTAAGACTCCAGTAGCGCCCAAATAGGTTTGTCTTTAAGTTCAGTGACATCGACCTGCTTCCCTGGCTTCCATTTTTGAACAATAGCAAGCTTGTTATCAAAATAACAGTATTTCCTTTTTATAACTTCATCTCTGTCCTCTTCCTTCTGAAACATAACTATGAATTGTCCTTCTTTAAGCACCGAAACCTCATCAATAGGGTACATATTCCATATTCTAGCTACAAAACCCTTGACTACTTCAAGGGGGGGATTAGCTCCAAGTATACAGAGAATCATAGCCGCGTCCCAGTATCTGGAAGGTTCGAGTATGTCCTCCTTTGAGAGTTTTGCAACCCTAGTTCCATTGATCTCTGTTGCTTGAACAAACGTTAGACCCATCTATATCGCATCCTGATCACCTACCACCTCCGCATACGTTTTGGCTTCAATAATCTGGTTCTCCTCTTGATTCTCTGCTTCTAATTTCTCTGTACTGATAGTGCTCAGATCTGGATTTCCCTCAGGAGAATTACTTCCAGATGATGCACCGTTTTCAAATTTCCCTTCGATCGAATGTTCTTCGTCCCCTTGTTTGCTTGTCGAGCATGATTGCAGGATTGGATCCTGATTTCCTTTTGGCCTTCCTTTCTTCTTCGCCATTGCAGAAGTAGAGAGAGAAATCCAGGGAAATTCTTCAAGGATAACTTCTTTGATGATTATTATGATACCATTGACAAATAGTTTTTCCAATTACACTGAAATATATAACATTTCTCCCCCATTTTAGTGTGATCCTTGATAAATGAATTCTTAACAAACTACAAACTTATGCATAAATGAAATATCATGACGATTGAATTTCGTCTTAGCACATTACACATTTCAAATATTCGAATATTAGAGCATCACCAAAGATTGAACCATTACTATTCATTTTGAATACATGAAGATAATATACACAAGTTTACATACTTTAATGTTCTAACTTGACTATTTTTTGCTAGCCTTGTGCCCTAATCCTTAATACGCATATCAAAGTGAAGTCTCTACTTCTTGAAGCGGCTAAACTTCATGCTTATATAGGTAGATCTTTTATTCTTGCACGTGCATTTGTAATTTTTCAAAAGAACTATTAAGAAGACCTACTTCAACATCTTAGTCTTACAGATCTGAACAAATACCTAGGGATGATATATTTTATGTGTTAAGATTTTCCACAATGAGTTCAGCATCTAATGTCATATTAGATGGGAATTAGGAATCTTATCATGAGAAATTTAGATAGACTTTAATCCAATCCCAATAGTTGATCTTTGTACAAGGTTTTTACTTAATCCTTTAGTTAAATGATCAGCTGACTTCTTACAAACTTCACTGATATCACACCGTGCATGATGAGCTCACGAATCATGCTTTGTCTCACACTTAAGTGTCTCGACTTCCCATTATCAATTTGACTATAAGCCTTTGCCAAAGTAGCTTCACTATCACACCTGATAGATACGGGAGATATTAGTTTTGGGCATGATGGGATTTCATTTATCAGATTCCTTAACCATTCTGTTTTTTACCACCTGCTGCTAGAGCTACAAACTCATACTTCATGGTAGAGTTAGTTATGAAAGTTTTTTTCTTTGATGCCCAACCAATTGCACCTCCTTGAAGAAGGAATATCCATTCACTTGTGGAAGAATGATTTTTCATATTAGTTATCCAACTTGTATCCGAGTATCCTTTTAAAACTAAAGGAAAGTCAATGTAAGTTAAACTATAATTCATGGTTGCCTTGGATGTTTGATGTATACTATGATTAGTACGAGGCCAGAAATATCATGTGCGGTTAGAAAGATTAGTAGGGATACTAGCAATCCTAGTTCGCATCATTAGCAAGCTGTTAACTGAGTATTTAAATACTTAAAGGCAACCGCACATGCTATGTCTGGCCTCGTACTAATCATAGCATACATCAAACATCCAATAGCTCGTGAGTATTCAACTTGAGATACCACAACACCTTTATTAGGCAAGAGCTTTAGACTTGGATCAATAAGAGTACTGATCAGAGAACAGTCTTTGAAGTTAAACTTGTTCAAAATCTTCTCAATATAATGTGATTGAGAAATAGAAATCTTGGATCACTTCGGCCTCCTCCATGTCTTTCATGGCAAACCTAGATGACAAAATTTCCTTGGTGTTATTAACTTGATTTTGGGTAGTACCTAATATCAGCATGTCATCTACATATAAGCAAATTACATCTTGTCTAGAAGCATCAAATCTGCTATATACGCACTTATATTCTTGGTTTAATTCAAACCTATTTGACAAAACTACGTCATCAAATTTCTGATGCCATTGTTTTGGTGCTTGCTTTAAACCATTCCATGCTTCCATCAACCTTCATTTTCCTTTTGAATATCCATTTACATCTTAGAGGTTTGCATCTTGGTGGTAAATCAGACAATTGGCATGTATTATTCTACACGATAGAGTCAATTTCATCTTGGATTGCTTCTTTCTAAAAAACATTCCTTGAAGCCATAGCTTCACTAAATGTCTTTGGATCTTTCTCAATATTGAAGCAATATTGATATTGAAATTCAATGTCATTTCTTGTTCCTTCCATCATGTAGAGTTGAAAATCGTCACCAAAAAACTTAATTTTCTTGCTCTTGTACTTTTCCTTATTTCGGTGTCTGTGGAAGGTACATTTTGAGAGACCTTCATACTGGGAGTCATATCCTTTGGTCTGGATATGGAAGTAAACCTGGATAAAAAATCGCATGTCTCGACTCTATAACTGTGTTTACAAATACAAAGTCATTAGGTTCTATAGCATAGAACCTATAGGCCTTGGAATGCATAGCATATCCAATGAAGATGCAATCTATACCTTTTTCGTCCAAAGTTTTCCTCTTGGGTTCAGTTAGTCTAATAACAGCCCTACATCGCTTAAGCTCGAATTGGAGAACATCTTTTAAGGTCATATTTTTCCTTTTTGCAACACCATTTTGTCGTGGTGTGTAAGGAGCAGTTGTGTGATGTATTATACAAGTATATTGAAAACATAATGGAACACTATACACACCTCCTCGATTTTGAAGGATTTTAATCAAGTTACTTTGATGTAACTCTACATCTATCTTATAAATCTTAAATTAATCAAGGGCTTCTTATTTTGCATGCAACAAATAAACAAAGCAAAATCTAGATGTATCATCTATGAACGTTACTACATACTATTTATTTCTAAAAGGAGTACTAGTAAGTCACATAAATTACTATGAATAAGATCCAAAATATTACTTTCCCTATGGACTTCTTTGAATGGTTGTCTCGTTATCTTAGTCGTGGTTGTTAAGTCAACAAGTCGAGTCGAGTCAGTGACGGGGAGACTAGTGGACTAGGCGATTAGTCGTAGACTAGTAGACAAATCCCAATTAGTATTGAAATTTTTAACATTATATATATCGACATTAACCCAACATGAATATATATATATGTATTTATATGACAAAATACCATAACCAAAGCAAACTTATGTTTAAAGATAATACATAAAGCAAACTTATGTTTAAAGATGTAGACGAAAGTCAGGGAACCGCTGGAACTGGAAGACGTCGCTGTGGAGGAGAGTCGCGACCCTCGATTGACTTTCAACTGGATGGATTGCGTCAAAGGAGCCCGTGTTTTATCGGAAATTTTAACTATTAATGAAATTTGGGTCGGGTCGGGTGAACTTGGGTTAGGTCAGATTGGGCAATTTCTTTCAGCGACTAGGCATCGCCTACGCGCGACTAAGCGTCGCTTTGCATGCTTTATCGCCTAGTCTGTCCTAGGCGCTAGTCGAAGAGCAAAGTGTCATCCCAAAACCGCCCGGACGACTAGTCGGCGACTTGTCGTGGCCTAGGCAACGACTTAACAACAATGATCTTAGTAAGCATGCAAGTTTTCAACTTCTCAATGTTCAAGTCAAATGCAGGTATTAAACTCATTTTAGACATCTCTTAATCTCTTGTAATAAACATGCATTAGTCTAGCTTGCCACAATTCAAACTTATTTGAACAAATGCTAGAACTAGTAGAAGCCATACATACAGATTCATTGGGATAAGATACATCTAAATTCAACTTAAACATACCATTCAAATAACCAAATCCAATAAACGAACCATGTTTAGATAATACATATTTATCTGACTCAACTACTTGTTCATAACCACAACTATTTAATACATTACCACACAAGGTTTTTACAAATACCAACAAATAAGACATTTATTAAAGTTATAGACTTTCCAGAAGTAAACACTAGCCTAACACTTCCAATTCCTTTGATGGTTTTCGTAGACACGTTCCCAATGCGCAATGTCGAGTCATCTTCTATTGGTCTCATTGATGTAAACATGCGTTGATCTTTGCACACATGGGACGTTGCTCGCGAATCTACCCAACATGCAACATCATCATCCTGCATATAAAATGCATCGGATATTTGAGATACATAATTCTGAAACGAGTTACTAATGTTTTCAAAAATCTGACCTTGTTGTATATTTTGGTTCTGTTTTTCATTACCAACCCTGTAATCATTCTTGAAGTGTCCTGTCTTACATTACCTAAGTAGTTTGCATGTAGGCCTGCTCAAAGATCAGGCTAAGTAATGTAATATACTTAGCAAGTAATTAAGCCCTACACTCCTTCATGGAGTGTAAAGCTACTCCTCTAGTTATACATTAAAATGCCAAAAGGGAAAGCTAGATACAAAAACATTTAGATCATAAACTAGAAGTTGAATCTTTGAGGGCAATCTAACATGCTCAGGTTCGAACAGGTGGCTAGGAAGAGTTAACTCCAAAAGAACCATACATAAGAACTTGGAGTATATGTTTCACATGTATGAAAAGTAGATCTAAATCACGTTGAACATGAGAAATCCTTGTCTTACTATTTTCATTTTCCTCCTGTTCAAGTACTAAGGTCATAAGCATTTAATATACTCTGACAAAGAAAACTTATTTAACACCATATCAAACTCTTATGTCACACCATATATAGCAATCCAAAGCAACCTAATGGA